TTCTCAGTACTGATAAATTAGTAAATAATTAACAAATATTGGGTATGAGGGGCAAACTTTGTGCTGCAGCAGGGTTGCAGATTTTGGAAACTGAAATAACAATTTAATCGATTTTAATCATTGTCGAAATGAGTGGTTGATCAGACTGAAAACTTTGACGGATTGTGGAGTTCCTAAAAGTTTAATTTATATTAAATTATTAAGTTAATTACTAAGTTATTGGTTTTGTTGCTCCACCACCACCGCATCCACAAGCACAACCCTGGTCGTCCATGTTTTTGTGTACAATAGTCTGTTTGTCTTCTTCTCTATTGTCAACGAAGATAAACTTTATTCAATCTCTGCTCCTACTGTAGTACTTGTGGCTTTTGCACCTTTTTTTTTTCCCAGTGTAGTAAATTTTTTATTACTAGCAGTTCTTAAATGACTCTAGAATTTCATCAATACTAAGTTACTAACTACTGGACAACGATAGAGATAGGCCTTCACCTTTCACCAATTCTCAAAGCTTTGTATGTTAGATTGACAACCGACCCTAAACCCTAAACTTCGCTGTTTGGTAATTTTGTAATATTAAAACCACCATGGGCTTTTCATTGAACTTTATACATGCTATAAAAAAAAAATTAATTAACCCTTTTTAGGGTTGGTTTTGCCTCTCATGCCTTTCATGATATTAAAGGTGAGTATAGATATAGGAAAAGTTGTTTTATATCTACTGATTCTTAAATTAATTTTTTTTCAATCATGTTGAAGATGAAGATACGCAAAGATGCATAATTAAGCTATGGGAGTTACAGAACAACACAGCAGTAGCATTGTGTTCTAAAATTCGGCCTAGGCGGTGAAGGCTCGCTGCGATTTAGTGCAATTGTTTTGAAAAATCGGTCTAGAGCTAGGTGGCACCCAGGTGGCTCTTAGGCCGTGCCTAGGCGGTCTCTTTTTAAAAAAAAATTAATTGTGTGCTTTTTTCTTTTTTTAGTTTCATGGTGGTATACTTATGGAAATGGTGTATCTAATTTGCAAAAGATGGATTGACTACAAGTTCATCCAATTGTGAAATAAACTGGAGCACTTTTGAGGGAATACATACAAAGAAAAGAAATAAACTAGATACAAGAAGGTAAAATAATTTAGTCTATGTCCAATCTAATGCAAGGATCATGAACAAGAAGAATTTAGTCTATCATCCAAGAATACTCTTCATTATGATTATATGCGTACTGTTTTTTAAATATTGAACTTGTTGGATGGATGTACTTTGTGTATTCTTCTACTTCTATTTTTGCATTTTATCATTATTTTACACTAGTAGGAAAAACACTTTGCGCGACATAGGTCCTTCGTCGCGCAAAGTCCAAAAAACGTCACGCAAAAATTAGCGCAACGAACCTTCGTTGCACGTCAACCGTCGCGCCAAGGCAGTGACAGAAGGGTTTGCGCGACGAAGAAGTAACCTACGTCGCGCAAACCCGCTTTGCGCGACGTAGGTTACTTCTTTGTTGCGCAAACCCTTTTTTTTTGGCAAAAAAAATTTTTATTTAATTTTTAATAAATATTGTAATTAAATTCTAAACAATAATTAATAAACCAAGAAAAAAGTATTTGATTATAAAATATATGAAAATGTACATACAAGATGTCCGAACAAAAAAGAAAAAACTACAAGTAGTCTTCAAGCTACTGGTATCAGCTGGGTGAAGTGGCTGGAAGGTCAAAGGTGGAGCAAGATCAGGTGTTGGCATCGGGATTTGGAGGCCAGACATCTATAAGGCCCGTACAATAGCCCTCATCTTCTCGCCCTGGGCCGCAAGCTGACCTTTTAGGGTTGTCACGTCCTCCTTCAAGGCATTGACCTCTCATGTGGTCGATCTGGAAGAAGAGGCACCCGTCTCATGAACCCACGCCTTCCCCATACACCGAACAACATTGCCATGACAACAACCGAACTTCTGATCCAGGACCTCATTCAGGATCTGAAAACTTGCATCCTCGCCTTTTGGCCTTTACTTGCCTTTACTTTCCTGATTTGGAGGGTTAATAAACTATGCAAAATATATACTCGGCTAAAATACTACTCTAGTAATAGTTAAGATGGACCATCCACAAATAAAGAAACTCATATTGTAAAGAATCCCAGGTGTTTAAAATCTATTCAGAACACTCCACAAACCCCAAACAAGATGGACCATCCTATTTCTGCCTAGAATCTGCCAATCTGGATACAGTAATGAGCTATTTTGTACTCATTATTTTATGTGCTTTCTTGTTGATGGGTGTATGTAGCAAACATCAGACAAGACGATGGTGGTCAATTTTGTGATCCTTTAGACTTTGAATGATCATCATCTCCAATTAGCCATTTCATACTTTAGTACTATCGTCAGATCCAATTAGCAATCCAATATCACCATAATTTTGAGTGTACAACTACAACAGTAGAGGCACTTGAAAATAAGATGATAAGATGGTAACTTCATTCTGGTTAATCAAATATTTTAGCTAGCAGCAAGTGGGTCAAGCTCGATACCAAGGTCATAACTATGATTTTAAAGCACATTTCAGCCAACAAAACCCAGAGTACACATGATAAACTATAATTCATTGATGGGAATGAAACGTCTGAGAAAATATGAACTCAACAACCAAACCCAGTGTGCTCATGTCAAATATCAACAACCAAACCCTAATTATTATTCATACAAGTATAGTTTTTTTTTTTTTTTCTGAAGTGTAAATAGGTTTACAAGATATACAATAAATTTACATAAATCTGTCTAGCCCGCCACCCGACTAGCGCCTAACGTTTTTTTAGAACCTTGAGTAGCAGTTCACCAGTAGTGAGTGCAACTATACGTATAATAAGCCCATGCAACCAAATTAATTAGGTAATTTAGGTTATAAAATTAATTTGACTTGAATGGTGGTTTCAAATTAGGGTTTGGTCTATGCATGTGGGTAGGCGAAACGAAACTTGATCACTAACATATTCAACACCCAACAGAATAATGGGTAAAATTTGAAGAGAATGCCTAGCTTAGCTAGCAATTTAAACTTGGACATGTAGTAGGTCTACCAAATGCGTGTAAATTCTAATATATGTGTGTGTGTGTGTATGTATAGGAGCTGGTCATTTAATCACATGATGTATATTGGTCATTTAATCACATGATGTATATATAAAGCTATTTATACATCCACTTATACCTCTCACATATTTTTATTAATTTTTGACTTCTTCAATTTATTCAATCCGACGATAAAAAATTAAGAAAGATGTGTGAAAAGTAAAATAAGTGTATAGATAGCACCATCCATATGTTTGATGCATGCTAGTGTTCGCTAACATCTCAACCTATCCATAAACAGTATATATATTTTGTACTTAACCATCATCAGTTCAGAAAACTTCAACCGCATATGATCTTACCTAGCTATTTTGTACTTTTCTTAGTTAGTTAGTAGTTATCTCTACGATATATTTTAGGGAATTTTAACGAAAAGCTTCCGGTATTGTTCACTTTAACGAAAATTCACATTTTTACACTAAAAATCAATCATGGTACTATTCACTTTACCCTTTATTTTGTCCTTATCGTTAAAACTCAAAGTTTTCAAGCCATTTTTATTAGTTTTCCTTATATTTTAAGCATTCATAATATAAACTTCATCCTCATATCTGTTTATATTATTTGCCACTATTTAAAGATTATATTTCAAAAAAGAAAACTAAATCAAACCAAAGATCAATTAATCATTTATATGCATCAAATAAATGAACATTTTTTTTTAAAGGATTGAACTAAGAATAGGCTAGCAATAATACTGTTTAAGAGATTGTACAAATTGGTTCCCCTCGTAGGATTAGAGCAAATATTGTCCCATATTTAATTGCATTAAACAAAATATTTGGTATTTTCTCATTTAATATATAAAAGCCTCTTGCCACACACATACGCGTGTGGCAATTGACATTTTTATATATCTTTTATTTAAATAATTAATTTACATATTTTTTAAAAAAAGATGAAGAAGAAATGAATTAAAAACGTGAAACCACCCACTAACGTGGGAGGTTTTGTTTTTTTGTTTTTTTTTTCTATAATTTTAAATATTAAATTCATTCAAAATAAAAATATGGTTAAATACTTTAGCTTCTTTTGGTTCAATTGTAATTTATGAAATTCCTAAAAGACAATTTATGGTATTTTGAATGTTTCAACCCATTTTAGGGTGCTCACTTTATATATATAAATAATCTCGCACACACTCACACGCTTTTATTTTCTCGATAACGAGTTATTTATATATAGATAAGTTGCAAAAATAATTCAAGAGATAAAAAATCAATCCTAATTATTAGACAAGTAAACCGGTCCACAAAGATGAGGAAAGTTAGATATTACTTCACAAATTTTCTCTGTTCTCAAAACTGGTGCATAAAAAGGTTCTAATAAGTATAAAAAGCTCTTATATAAGCCTAAGTAGTTTCCAAAAAAAAGAAGAGTAAAAGCTTGGTTTCTTTTATCACCATAAATAATATAACTCTCGTCACATGGCTAGCTTGCTTAATAACCCTTTGCATGAAAACCAAAATAATAATAATTCTCTAATATATCACAATCTAGCTACCTTAGTTTGAACAGTTGCTAAATTCTCTGTTGTATCACCTGACACAATTTGTATTGTGTATATATATGCAGACACATATATACTGACATCTACAAGAGTCTCGGCATGTACCTTGATTAATTTTACGTTCCACCTATATAGTTAGGAAATAATTCTTTTAATACAAGAGGCACTGGATGGAAGAGTGCCAATCAGCTGAGCTATAAATTTCTTCCAACTAGTTAAGGGCATTGGATATATATGTCCAATAAAGGGTCGATTACATTCAAAGTTTTTTGCACTACTAGGCGTACAAGTGTAACATCGATGTTTTGAAAAATCTACGAGTTACAGAATCATAATCTATAAACATTGATTTGGGAAAAACATTTGAGCCGGCAAAGCAAGAAATGCGTCCAGCTAATCACATTCTTAATATATCTCTCAAGTCTCCATTTACATAACTATAGAACTAATTAATTCTACTTTTTGCTACTCCTATTTAGCATGAAAAAGCTATCTCTACCTATTCAAATTTGAAGTTTTAATTTCACCTTAACTAGCTGACAATGACAATAACAGAAACTCAACTAATGAAAACTACTTGTTCAGTATCGAAATTAACTTGGAAGGCCTATTGTGAGATCAAGATTAAGGTCAGGCAAACCACTGCAGCTTGTGTTGCTTTCCGGGCCGCTTGCAGAATCTGTAAATGGTTTCTGATGATCATCAGAGTCGTTATCCCCTTGAGAATTCGCGGCTTTGCATGGATGATTTGCTTTTCTGGAGCCAAATGATGATTTTGAAAGGCCAATATTCTGTGTGTGTCCTATGCGATGGTTATTGGGGTCAACTCCCATTTGTATTAGTTTTCTCCTTAGATGAGTGTTCCAGTAATTCTTCACTTCATTGTCAGTTCGTCCCGGCAATCTTCCAGCAATTAGCGACCACCTATTTGAATTTTACAAGTAACATTAATACATGATCAATATATAGTTTCAGCAATTAGTACTCTTAATTATGAATAAAGAAGGCCAACCTGCCTATACGGCTAGTTTATAGGGACCATTTGTTTGTTTTCGATTATCAATTTTTATTTTTAATTTTTTTTCAAAACCAAAATCAAGCCAAATTTTAAGACTCACAAACTAGCTGTCAAATACTTATCAAACAATCTTTTTAACGAAAACTAAAAAATAAAAAAATAAAATGGTTATCAAACATTCTCTTAGCTATTTAATTTAATATATATATATATATATATATATTAGTAATTATCATCATGAAGCACGTATTACCATCATATAGTACCATTAGGAAATTATGCAATAGCTAGAGAGGAGCATGCATTATCAATTAGGATTATTGTTGCAATTTATTCAGACTCTAGCAAATGCATAAGGCTCCAATGAAAAAAAGTTAATTAATTAACCTCAAAAAAAAAAAAAAATCTTTGATTTTTCATCCTATCAAAATATTCCCTTTTTATGTTTGCTTGAAATTTTTCAGAAACTCTACTCCTGCATGTATATGATAGAGGGTTATCTTCTTTCAAAATATTCCCTCTTAATTTCTTCTTTTTCTCAAATTGTTATAAACATATTTGTCTATTCGCGAGCAGTATACCTGTTTCCAAGAAGTGCATGGAGCTTGATGATTAGGTCCTCTTCATCTTCACCAAAGTTGCCACGTTTCAAGTTTGGCCTTAGATAATTTACCCATCTTAATCTACAGCTCTTTCCACAACGGAGCAAGCCTGCACCATTATTAAATTTCAATGATGATCAATAATTAAGATTAATGAAAAATAAGGAACCATATACATTTAATAAATATTTTTCAAACTTATAAGTTAAGAATTAATTGAGAACTACATGTGTATGTGAGTGTACATGAGCGAATTTGTCCATGTTAATGATTTTTTTTTTCTTCCGAGAATTGATATTATTACTCCAACGTATATTAAGGCACTGAAGAATGGTTTGAACCGAAGAGAAGGAAAAATGTCCTATTCACCAGAGCAATATACCTTCCACATGTTTTTGGTTTTGTAAGTGCAAGAGGAAGTGCATGTATACCTGCAGCAAGTGGAAGGGAGCGCCAGCTTCCTTCGCCATTTTTTTCAACAAATTCAGTGAGCTTCTCATCTTCTTGCTTCGACCATGCTCCTTTGTTCGTCTTTTTCTTCTCACAGCAAGGTTTCCTCATTACAGTAGTAATATTGAAGTTCTTCTTACAGCAAGTGCAGAGAGAGAGAGAGAGAGAGAGAGAGAGAGAGAGAGAGAGAGAGAGAGAGAGAGAGAGAGAGAGAGAGAGAGAGAGAGAGAGCTGCCCAAGTGAAGGGGGCTAGAGAACAATATAACAAAGTTTTCTGACTACTCCGCTTGACTTACAGTTGGGTAATTTAACTACACATCTTCTGTCGAGGGTTTGGTGTGTGTGACGGTGTCTGGTACTATGCTAACCTTATGAAATATTTTTTCTATTATCCTTTCTATATATCACGCAACAAAGTTAAGCAACAATATTAATACCTAGAGTAATCCTAATGCTTGCGTTCCTCATGGGAATTTACTTACCATCCACTTACAATTAACGAAAATTTATCGCCTGAATACTATAATCAGAATTGTTTATTCTCTTTATCATCATCTAAATATCATATATGTAAAAAATCATACAATTTGGAATCGTTTAATCATTCATACGTGTTAAACCAATCAACCATTGTGGTAACAAGTAGCATCCTCATGATGAACCGTCAATTTGTTTTATGCATATGAATTGTTAAAAGATCTTAAAATTAAATAACTTTTTTTGCATATATGAACTTTAGATGATGATAAAGAAAATGAACGATTCCAATTATGATGTTTGGACGGTAAAGATTCGCTAATCGTAAATGTGAGGACACAAACATAAATTGCAAATGTGAGGACACAAACATTATCCATTCTCTTAACCTTGAACATTAAAAAAAAAAACGTAATTTACAGTCAGCTATTTAAATGTGAAAACATTTTGATGTCTTTGACACATTTCCAAATGACAAAAGGCCTCTTCATGTTAATTAAAAAGGGTGTAAATAATATTGCGGATAATTGGTTTCTTCAACTGAAAAATAAAACCAAGGGCATTTTTTTTACTAAGCAACTGTGGTACACATGATATTTAACCTCGATATAGTCAATTCTATCAACAAAGTGGAGACTAAATACTACTAATCTAAATGGTCATCGAGTGCTAATAACACAATGAAATTTTTGACAAATATATCAATAAATTGACACTTTCCTTGTCATGGTTACATTTAATTTATAATTAATTTGAATGGTCTATTGTTTCTCTTATTTCCTTCATAATTTAGTAATAATACTAAAAAAATAAAAGGTAACTTCAAAATTTCTAATGTACTATATCGACTAAAAGTTAAAGGGTGGTGTTATGCACACACTCAGTTTTAGTTTTCACACATATTTTATAATTTTCTGTCGTCGGATCTAATATAAAAATTAATAAACAAAAATTAACAAGACTATGAGAAAATAAAAAAGAGTGTGTGAATAGCAAATTCTAAGTAAGAATGCATGGCCAAAACATTTTTTTTCTCTTGGGGTCGAAGTAGACGAACTATCTCTGCTTAGTTACTTAATCCTTGATACATCCATTATCCATAATGATTATTTTTTGTGGATGAGAATTCTCTCTTTTTCTCTCTGCCTGTTTATACCAAAGGATTCTGATAAAAATAAAAAATAAAAGAAACTAAAAATCGAAAGGGCTGGATTCAAGAGGGAATCTGACAAGTCTTGTTCGGGTAAGTCATGTCCACCCGCGCGTTGAATGGTAGATTCGCATGCAGGTGATCTGTTTACGGGCATCGTTCATAGGACAGACGGCTTCCTCCTGTGAAGTGTACGAACATTTGACACCCTTATACTATGAATGAATGACCAACTTTTCGAGAAAGGTCCATGTAAATGGATGAGATCCTCAGATCTCACGTTCCGGAGTTAGTAGACCGAACAATCCGAATCGTTCATAAATAGGCGTTGGAGAGTAAGATAGTATATGAAATGTGCCGGTAAATGAATTAATAAGAATAACAGAATTTAAATTTAAATTGTTCGATTCGTCGAGAGGATCTCAATCCAATTTAAATATTTGTGGAATAAGCCCAAACTTTAGATTTCTTCTTCGCAGCGACATTTAAAAGGTTTAGAATACCAAGGAAAACCGGATTTTAGATTCTGGCAAAAAAAATGATAAAATGTCTAAGCAAACATATACAGAGGCAATGGCAAACCCTATATCATATTATATTCATCGGTTTCACAGTCATAATTACTTTATTATTGTTGTTGCATACTGAAGTCTATTTATACATTTTTTTAAGGTTAGTTAGGAAAATTAAATTTGTAGACAAAATTTAAGAAACTAAACAACATGAAGTTTATGCTTCATTTGTTACTTAAGCGTTGATAAATGTGTTCATTACTATTGAAGACACATCATTTCATTTGTAACTTTTATTACTAAATTTAATCTTCCTAGCATTACTTTTTTTCTTATAATAGTACATGCATGCACAGGTTTAAAAGGAATATATTGTTACTGCAAATGTACATAAAAAAATGTCAAAGAGATTCTTTAAAAGATGAAACTCTTTATATTTTTTGTTATAAAATTAGAATCGTGAAGTGGCAGAGTTTATAAAAAAAATTATTTTGAGAGAGTTTGCTTGTAACATATCTCATGTGTGGAGTTGGTAGAGAATAGACAGTTGACTGTTAGCTTTGAACGAAGGGATTGATTTCTGATCCTGTTTGAGGATCAGGAGATTATTTAATTGTGTCTATTTATCATAAATTGTGCGATTATATTATGTACTATTTATATTTAATTTTAAATAAAATATTTAAAAGATTTTCTGACTACATGATATATAATAAATAAATATGATTAAAAGATTCCATGAATCCTCACCAAGGCGAATATCCTCATTAGATTTTTACTACTTTGTTTTGGAAGAGGATTCTCTCCCGATTCATTTTGTGGGGATTTTAGGGATCTTCACATCCTAGTCATTCATCGTATATCATGCGGTCAGTTTTTGTCAGATATTATTTGTGTTTATTTTTAAATAAAAAAATTAAATAATTTATAACCGTTCGATATACGATAAATAATTAAGATGTGAAGATCTCTAGAATTGTGGTGGATGCTGATGGGATCCAATTCCCTTTGTTTTGGAAAGTCAGAGCAAACTGAATTCTCTCAGTTGAGTCGTTCATCACATTAACGAAATATTGTGCCTCTAATAAAGACAACTTTTGAAATTTTGCTCTTTCCATTGTGCCCGTAGCCCAAGGGTGCTGCAGTGTCAGTGTTTCCTTCTTTTTCAACAGAGAATTGAAAAACTATGCATTCAAGTTTTTTGGTGAAAAGTCAAAAGTAGCATCAAGAAAAAAGGTTGGAAATTGGAATCAAGCTACATCATGTTCTTTCATTTAATTTTAGGTGATAAAATAATAAATCTCACGTCAATGGAAAAAAAAAAATCTTTCTATAGGCTTATAACTAAATAAATTCGACTACTTTTTAAATTGTCAACTAGTTTTATAATGCGAGCTTAATTTTTTTTTATGATATTAGGATATGTTGTCTCACGTCTGAAGTTCAACGGCCAGTTGTGTTGCGCGTACGTCACTCTGTTTATGTTGTTAAGATTGAAAGTCACCACACATAACGGTGCATGTTGAAAATGAATCCAACTTTGATAGAAAAATGGACTTTGCATAAGCTTATAAGTAAGTTAGGTTATTCCTTATATTGCTAATTGGTTATATGTGTTAGGCATAGCACTGAGAGCTAAATAGAGAAGAACAAGTCGACAGTTTGAGAGAGAGAAATCTTAGAGAGGAACAAAACAGCATCCTTGTAAATGTGTTTCAACTCACATCTTTTTTATTGTCTCATTAATCCCTACAATCCAACTCTATTTTAAGATCAGTAACACGGTAACACCCTTATTCAAATCAATCTAAAAACCAAAACACACTCTCTACAATTAACTCAGCATGACTAGTTCATTTGATACTGAATATCCAAGCACAAAAAGAGAAAAAAAACAGCCTTTCTTAATACTCTCCAGCGAAGACATATACATAAACATACAAATGAAATTTTGTAGGTTTAAGGAAGCTAAGTATAGTTATACTAGGGCAAATTTTTTGACAAAAGTACTCAGAAGGTCAAGTCAAGATAAGGAAAGAAGAGACAAAGTGACGTGGAATTGAGTATGGTGAACACGAAGAGAAAATGTGAGATAAGGCTGCATCTTGCTCCTAACAAAAAAATATTTCTTGAATCCGCGACTGAAAATTATAAAAAATAAAGGGAAGCTAAATTTTACTGCATTCAAGAGTTTGTAGCTTTTAGCTTCTTCTTTTGGTTGTTTGGAAAGAAGATTCTTGACCAAAAGGCATTAATATTTGCATTCTCTAGCTAATGGAGTTCTCTCATTCGGGATAATTTTTATTGTACTCGGAACACGGGACTGATACCAAATATTATTATACAGTTAGAGGGATATTTTAAAAAATAAAATTTTACTCCAATTATATAATAACATGTGACGTTCAATCCCGTGTTCCAGACACACAAGAAAATCTCTCCGTTCCGGACACACAAGAAAATATCTCCTCTCATTCCGAGCTGTACTAATGTACCATACTTCTTAAGGAGCGAGCCATGCATGAATTAATATTGGTCCAATTGAGCATTAATAATAATGGAACTACATTTGTAGGTATGGGAAAAATGATTTCCTTGCAGATTGATATTTGTTGAATCATGTATAAATGGAACCTCATTCTATGATCGTTTGAATATTGACCATAAAATTGGAAACATAAAGTGAATAAACAACAATACACGATACAAAAGATATATTTATTGCAAAACAGTTGCATGCATGTATACTGCAATATCAGTCGATTCTTATCTTAACCAGACACTACATATCCCTTCAAATTCTAACATCAAGCATTTGTCATTACTATAATGGGAGAGATACAAGAGATGAACCCTTAATTACCTCTTTCAAGGAGTTTCAAATAATATTATAACTAATAATATAATAGGAAGAATTCGGAGACACACGCTTTTGATATTTTGACACCAATTATGTAGTGCTCACTATGTAATGTATTTCAACAATCCAAATTCAGTATATATTTTAGTCATACATACACATACAACTAGAATCTTGGCAGTCATACATACACATACAACTAGGATCTTGGTAGTCATGTGCATATATATGCATCCAATTGTCCACACACTAATAACTAGCCATGAATTATGATCAGTTTACGTACACACCTTTATACTAGTCGACCACACTAGTCATAATTAAGGCCAAACCACGTATCCAAGGCCATTGCCTAAAAGAAGCCTGGTGGTGGTGGAGTGTATATAATTAAACTAGACACTACATATAGTACTCTTCTGCCTCTCTTCCACAAACAATTAGCTAAAGTGAGAGGTCGAGATTCAAGTCAGGCAAACCGCTTTCGTTGCTGTGAATTTTAGCACCAGTACTCATGGAATCCGACGACGACGACGCAAATAATATTGGTTTTCTAGCATCAGGCTGCAGAACTGGTACACCAGCAGTAGTGCCTCTTCTCAAGTGAGGATCATGGTGGTCATGGGGTTTTTTGGGATCAAGAGTACTTCCCATCTTTGATAATTTTTTCCTTATATGAGAGTTCCAGTAATTCTTCACCTCATTGTCTGTCCTTCCCGGCAGTCTTCCGGCTATCAGTGACCACCTAAATAAATTCATCAAAATATCGTATAAATATATTAGTCCTCATGATCAAAATATTTTTAGGTTTTATATGAATTCTCTCAAATTCAATTAAAAAAAAATATCTTTAAGTATGAATTTGACTAGGGTGATATATCATAATTTAAGCTAAACTACATGAAGGAAGATTTGACCTTGGTGTAGGGGAAGCATTGCACTAACCAACTTGGCTAGCTAATCCAAGTATACAAGAAATTAATATGCATAATTGAATTATAGATTATTTATAAAAATGAGAAAACTTGATATAAGTTCAATTTTTTGAGCTTATATTAGGAACAGTCCACTTTATGTGTATGAACACCTTTTATTTTTGTTTTTTAAATGGGAATAAGAGAGGGGGAAAGAGAAAGTGGGTGGGATGGGAGCGGGAGTGAGAGTTTTTTTATTGTTTTTTAATATTAGATATATCATAATATCACATGAAGGTGATCCTTCAATAAAAAAAAAAGTAAAATCTAAATATGTAAAATTACATTATTGTTCATCATTTTTTTTATGTGTAATAAAAGACTAAATAGTCATTTCACCCACTTTTGGTTGACAAAAATTGTTCTATTGCTAACTTTGCTAAACCTATCTATTGGCAAGTGACCATTTACCACAGTAATGGAAATGAGTTGAGCTCTTCAAACCCCGTTAGTGGCTAATCTAATATCTAATCTAACAAAATCTATTGTTTGACAAAAAAAAAAAAACTTTAGATAATTACCTCTTTAATAATATGATTTATTATAAAAATTAAATTTCTTTCCAATTATCTCTTCTTATTTCATTTTTTTTTGTTCCTTCTTGTTCTTCTTCCTACGTGTATCACATATTATTGTGTCTTGCTTATAGGTATATTATGTTTTTGTACCTTTCAGCTAAGTTCTTATATGTATAATATACATTCACATATTTGTTACTTGAGTTAGGGTCGTATATTCTGCAGATGGATTTGTGTTAGTATATTAGCTTGTTGTTAGAAGATATTAAGTAGATTTATTGAAATAAAAAGATACATGAAATTAGAAGGTTTTAATTTATCTCTAATAATTTTTTTTTGGGTCAAACCATAGATTTGTTAGATTAGATGTTAGATTAGGAAGCCGACGAGATTCGAACCCATGCTACAGGGTAAGGGCAACACTCATCTCCACCACTATAGTAGAGGGCCACTTGCTTATCTCTAATATTTAAATAAATATATATAATGTGTATAAAAGAAATAAAAATGGAGCAAATATAATACTGGACTTAACTTAATAACCATGTTGATTTTTGAACCCAAATCTAAATGGCCAGAGCCACTTAGTACTACGGTCTAGTGATATTTGTCTTCACTTGTATGTAAGAGGTTTTAGGTTTGATTCTTGCCAAATGTGAATTTGAATCATGTTACTGCTAGCCCATTGTGAGGCTCAGCTCACTCACTGACCCCTGTGGTGTAGATATTATCGTCTGTTCAAAAAAAAAAAAGCCCCAAATTTAATTAAGATTTACTTATAATATACAAATATGGTTGTAATTATGTAAATTAATATATGATAATAGGCATATACAAATTAGTACTTATATAACTATGTATTGGAAGAAAATTAAATATATGATTGTTTCCAAACTCAATTACCCTCTCTTCTAGTTAGGTTGTTTGGGCAATCCTATAATTGAAGAATTAATTTCGGGAAAGGGGGTAATACATATATGTATTGAGTTAATTTGAGATTAGAGCAGTTTTTATATGGGAGTAGAATTCTCTCCCCTCCAAATCGCCTTTCCTCTCCTCCTCTCTCACATTTCTTTTTGTCTTTCTCTCTCTATAAAGAAGTCAACACAAGATGTTAACGTAACTTAATCGCATAGGATGAGACTAGAGGGAGAGAAATTTGAAGGGAAGAGAATCTTATTCTTTATATGTAAATGCATACCGATTCCCCAGGAGTGCATGAAGCCTGATGATGAGGTCCTCTTCATCTTCTCCAATACTTCCGCGTTTAAGATCTGGCCTTAGATAGTTTATCCATCTCAGTCGACAACTTTTGCCACACCGACGCAACCCTAATCATGATTCATCATCAACAATAATACTATTCAACATGTACATGAACTCTGAAAAGTTACATATCATCTATATATCACCTCTTTTTCTTCAATACTAGTCAATATAAATTATATATACTATTATCACGATGGGGAATCGATGGTTTACTTCCCCGATCATGATTCATCATGCATATTCGTATCGATATGATATATACAATAATATATTAGGTAAATTACAAGATAATATACCCTAGCTAGCTACACACCGATCAAGAAGTAAAAGTCCATGAATTAATTAAGCAATTGATCAGAATTTAGAAGATGTATCTGCAGTATACACTATACACACACCTGCAGCCTTAGGAAGAGAATTCCAACGACCTTCACCGTGTTTCTGGATGTAGTCAATCAGTTTCTGATCTTCTTGCTTAGACCATGCTCCTTTGTTCGTCTCTATCTTATCACAACCAGGCTTCCTCATTGATCAAAAACCCTAGCAAGTTTCTGATTAACTACAAACAACATATGCAATAGCATGCAGCAGTTAGGTACTTGGGGTTATTGATATATAAAAAGTTCGTCTTCCAGAGAGAGACAGAGAGAGAGAGAGAGAAATCTAGTGCTGAGGCCCCATGAATATAGGATATGGATTAGAGGTAGGGAAACAGGAAGATATATAATAACATATAAAGTTTTCTGTGGACGTGTGTCAGTGTGTGCGCGGTAGGGGAGAATTTGGAGGTGCTTACAAGTTTAGGATGGACTGGTTGTTTTTACCCAAGCATGCATGTTTTTATGTGTATGAATGGCAAGAATGTGCATGGTTTGGTGAGGTGAGAATGTGCACCACTTACCTTTGACCATATTTTCCACAGCTAACCTAATTTTTAAGTGGGTGGGCTTTCCCTTGGCTACCACTTGAAAAGGATTTTTATCCAATAATCTCTGAAACTGATTTAACTCTTTATTTAGGTCCCTGATAATGAAAATTAATAGAAGTGATATTTGAGTTTGTCTATTGTAAATAATTTTGGTCATTATGTGAAAAATCAGTACAATGTTCATTAAATTGTCATGTGAATGATTACGTGACCACGTTTTTAAGCGTATCTTTGGCAATCCAACTCCTTCACTTGATGAGGATATTGACATATTTTTCACAGAAGAACCATAATGATTTACGGTGGATAAACTCAGAGACTACTTCTATTAATTTTCATTGTAATGAATCAAAGCGAAAAGTTATACTAATCACATAGATTATTATGGATTAAAAGCCTTAAAAAGTGTTTCACTGATCAGTTAGTTATTGTACCAGTCTACCAAATAGTAACCAATTTTGAAGTATTTTCTTTGACAGGAATTGTTACCATAAAGCTCAGTTTATACAAACTTTATGACTACCAAATATTCATTGTAATTAAGAACGAATTTTGACTAAATAATTGAAATATTCTGGTTGATATATTGATTAGGTAATTAAGTGATATTTCTTGTTGAAATGTGAATAGCTTGGGGTTGTTATAAGAATTTTCACATGGAAAAAATAAATAAAACGTATGACAGTGCATATATAGTTGTCTTGAAATACAACCACAGTGGCATCTTGTTGAAAGTAAGTTTATCTCCGTTAAGATCCTAATTTGAGAATGACGATCTTTCGGATCTTAAGCAATTTTGTACTCTCATATTAAAAAGTTAAAATACATGACAATATATAATTATCTTGACTTAATATCACCGGACATTTAGTTGTAGATAAGTGTTTCTTGGTGGGTCCTGGTTTGGGGATGACAATGTTTTAATTGAAAGACGAATGTACCACATCGATCCCCACAACCACAAAATTATCGATATAAATTACGTCATCCCGAATCCCTACTCTTCTCGTACCAAACAGAACTCGGCATGAAATTAGGTCTAGTGACTGAAAGTGGGCTAGGCCCGGACGGCAAGGTTGGTTCTGGCTTGGAGGTGACCCAAGCCCAATCTTGTTCATCCAATTAATTTAATTTTGGGACACACTCTATATTGAACTTCAACGATCTAAACTGTCTATTTTATAAGTTTCGATTATTAGATCATTCTTATAAAAAATTTAATTCGAAATAATATGCCTATTTAATTATCACAATAAAAATTTCATTGCTTCTTATAAAACAATGTGTTCATCAATTTATTTGAACTCAATTAGATGTCTCAAATATCTTCGATTTGGATAAAATTTTACAAGGATGATTTAAAATATGTACAACTTGAAAAATAAATAGTTTGAATTGTACAAATTTAATATAGCGTGAACCCCACAACTAATCATCATTTAAATAAAAAATAGTAAGATTCACTTACCTTAAAGGCCTCTAGTATGTTAAATTGTTAGTATGAAGATAGATCGGTGAAAATTAAACCACACAAAAATGCATAGACATGCATGAAAACACCATTTTAATTTAATTTAACTTAATTCGATCATGCAAGCACGAATTACAAAAATAAAAAAAAATAAAAAAATAAAAAGTAGAAAGGAGGAGGAGATAAAGGTAATCCTCCATTTCTGGATCTGACGACTCCCACACTGACACGTGTTCAAGTCCACTTTCCCTTTTGAACATTTCCAAAACTCCGCATAGCTCTACACTGGCAACCATAATCATCGGATCCTCGACGGTTGTTTTTGTGAGGATTTTGGGAACGTTCTAATCACATTTGTTGATATTCCAATCATATTAATTTATCATACTATAAAAATTATTAAAAAATTTTATTTAAAATTGAATATAAATAATATCTGATAAAAACTGATCACACGATATATGATGAACAATCAATATATGATGAACATATGTGATTGGAAGATCTTTAGAATTCTCGGAAATCTCTCCCTCGTCACTCTATTCGTACCCTCCCACCACCTATATATACCGCGGGCTTTCAAATCCCCACTTCTCATTTTTCCCAAAATTCCAAAAATGACCCCCAAGCTCACCGAAGCCTACGCCTGCGTCCCGTCAACGGAGCGAGGCCGTGGGATTCTGATCTCCGGCGACCCAAAATCCGACAAGCTCCTCTACACCAATGGCAGATCCGTAATCATCATGAGCCTCCGGAACCCCCTCGACGTCGCCGTTTACGCCGAGCATGCCTACCCCGTCACCGTCGCTAGGTTCTCCCCCAACGGCGAGTGGATCGCGTCCGCCGACGTCTCCGGCACCGTCAGGATCTGGGGGACCCACAACGACTTCGTGTTGAAGAACGAGTTCAAGGTCCTTTCGGGTCGGATCGACGACCTCCAGTGGTCCCCCGACGGATTGAGGATCGTTGCTTCCGGCGAGGGCAAAGGAAAATCCTTCGTTCGCGCGTTCATGTAAGCTTCGTCGTTTTGATTTTACAATTTACAATTTGCGAAATGGGTTTTCTTTTTTGGTGGTTTTTCGGCATCTTGCGTTTGGTTAGTGAGAAAATTGATTGAATAGGTGGGATTCGGGCTCAACAGTTGGGGATTTTGATGGGCACTCGAAGCGAGTGTTAAGCTGCGCGTTTAAGCCGACGAGGCCCTTTCGAATCGTTACTTGTGGAGAGGATTTCTTGGTGAATTTCTACGAAGGACCGCCTTTCAAATTCAAGCTGTCTCTCAGGTTTGTTCATTAGCATGATTTAACTCGAAATCTTATTGCTTTAATCACATTGTACTTTTGTATATCTGTCTGGGTGTTTTTCTTTGTGTTGCTTCCCTGACTCGAAGTATTCTTCGATTTTTGGATGTTTAGGGATCATTCAAATTTCGTGAATTGTATAAGGTTCTCTCCAGATGGTAGTAAGTTTATCACTGTAAGCTCAGATAAAAGTGGTATTGTTTATGATGGAAAGACTGCGGATAAGATCGGAGAGCTGTCCTCGGAAGATGGCCACAAAGGCAGTATTTATGCTCTTAGCTGGAGTCCTGATGGTAAACAGGTAGAACATGAGATGTTCATTTAGTTACCCAGAATTTTACATAATTAGGCCTGACCAACTGTTATCTGTTTCACCGCCTTATAAAGATCGCAACTTTGTGTCTTTTTATTTTCTCTGTTATAAAATTGTTTGTCTTGGTTCCTTGATTGAATGTGCTGATCGGTTCCATTTTAAATTTTAGGTTCTGACTGTGTCTGCTGACAAGTCGGCAAAAGTATGGGAGATGTCTGAGGATAATAATGGGAAGCTGACGAAAACATTGCCTCCTCCTGGGTCAGGTGGAGTGGATGACATGCTAGTTGGGTGTCTATGGCAGAACGATCATATTGTTACAGTTTCTCTTGGAGGCTTCATTAGTATATTCTCAGCAAGCAACCTTGACAAAGCCCCTCTACTGATATCCGGACACATGAAGAATGTTACTTCATTAGCTGTTCTAAAGAGTAACCCGAAACTTGTATTGTCTAGTAGCTATGATGGTCTTATTGTTAAATGGATTCAAGGTGCTGGATACGGCGGAAAGTTAAAAAGGAAAGAGAATTCTCAAATAAAGTGTTTAGCAGCTGTTGACGAAGAAATCATTACATGTGGATTTGACAATAAGGTGATAATAATTGTGTACTCTTTTTAGTTTCATGCAATTCAATTGTATCTCCTTTGCATTTTATTCTATATGAAAACTGTTTTGCCCGATTAGGATTTTTGCCTTCTCTCAGTTTCTTTCCTCTTGCATTTTTCTTATTACTACCCAGGTTTGGAGAGTTCCTCTCCACAGTGATCAATGTGGAGCTGCAGAGGCTATTGATATTGGAAGTCAGCCAAAGGACATAAGCCTTGCGCTTCTATCTCCTGAACTTGCTTTGGTTTCAACTGATACAGGAGTTGTCATGCTCCGTGGCACGAAAGTTTTATCAACTGTAAACCTTGGGTTCACTGTGACTGCATGTACTATTTCACCAGATGGATGTGAAGCCATTGTTGGTGGGCAGGACGGTAAACTGCATATGTATTCTATAACAGGTGATACACTTAATGAAGAGGCTGTTTTGGAGAAGCATCGGGGACCCATTTCTGTCATCCGTTACTCTCCTGATGTTTCTATGTTTGCATCGGGAGACTTGAACCGAGAAGCTGTCGTCTGGGACCGTGCCTCTCGAGAGGTAGCGTGCTCATTGTCCTCAGCCACTGTTTGTTTTCATCATTCTAATATTATTAAGTTACAACCATTGTTCGGGTATTATTGACATTTATGGTGAAAAGGGATAAAATAAGAGGTGTTTTTGTGTGTCTATGAATGCGTATGGTTTTAGATGTATGCATCAATCCCTTATCAGCTGATCTTGTTTGTTTATCCAAATTTAGTCAAATGCATGATTTTTAGGAGACATAAGTATGATACAGGCAAAGTGATCAAGTTCAACTGGTAAAATCTGTATCCAGTTCGTTCTTGTCGGCAAGTATATCTTTCTTGTGAGCACACTTATGACTGACATTTGAGTCTAGAGCTTATGAAATGATAGATGTGCATATTAGAATCTCAAATAAATGATTTCATATCTATTGCAATTTTTTTTTGCTGAGAACTTGGGAACTTGATCTGTTAAATTATGCGGTTGTGACGTGATGTTTCATCTAACGATAAAACTACGTTCAGATAGATTATGTGGTAGCACACTGGAACTTAGAATGATTCCTGCCTATTGGCTATTGTTGGACTAATTAATTGTTAATTAGTGATACTATTTTTCATGCTTTTTATATGAAAGATTGTGCTTTATTTTCTTCCAGATCAAGCTTAAGAACATGCTGTACCATACTGCTCGAATAAACTGCCTTGCTTGGTCTCCTGATAGCACACTGGTTGCAACTGGATCTCTTGACACGTGTGTTATCATATATGAAGTCGACAAGCCTCCAGCAAGCCGTGTAACCATTAAGGGTGCACACTTGGGTGGCGTCTACGGCATAACTTTCACCGATGAGCACACTCTGGTAAGCTCAGGGGAGGATGCATTTGTTCGTGTCTGGAGGTTGACTCCGCAATGAAGAAACACGGAGGGCTTCTTAGGGTCAAGGAAAGAATAAGATGGATGGAGTTTTTGCCGGATTTCATGGGTTTGCGAGTTTCCGAATGGTGGAAGCATGAGAAGGGATATTTCCATGAATTGTAAAGTATCAAGACATAGTTTCTGTTGTCTGGTGTGTCACGAACAGCGTTTTTCATAGACAGATTGGCTGTCTTTTAACAGGGATCGTGACCTTGCAGCTTGGAGTAGGTGGGTTTTTTGTGAATCCTTTCTTTTCTGGTTTTTGCGAGGAAAGTTTGAAGTACTTAACTTTATGTTGTAATTATTATTTTTATTTATGGAATTACATTTTGTCATCAATTGTGTTCCGCAGTGTTTTTTTTTTTTCAAAGGGGATTGGATGGTGGTGAGTCCACCCTTGGGGGCCGGAAGACTCAAAGGTATTTCAGTCTCTCTCCTAGCCACAACCATGCATTCATCAAAACTCAAAATTGAATCCATGATGTGCCCTATAAAATATGAGCCTAGAATTCGTCCCCAACAACTGGGTTACACCATCGTGGTTGTTTGGCAATGTGTCCAAAATTGGGGAAATTCGCAAGGATGGGGATTCAACAAATATTGACCTTAGATCAAAATCAAATATCGTCGACAAATCAATTAAAATTTGACAAATTGACGAAATCCTAAAACGTGACCATTTTATCAAAGGAAAACTAACCAAAAAAACTTGAAAACTTTGAGTTTTAACTAAAATCATGCTATAAGTTTATTTAATGGTTAGTACAAATCCAACATTAAACCAGCCCAATAAGACTCGCCCAAGCAATTAGTTTCCAATTTTACCCTTGACATCTAGTCTTTGCCAATTTAATCTTCTATCCCTTTCTCGATCTCTCCGTCTAATCTCTACTATTGTTTTTATACTCAATTCGATTCCAATTTAACCATTTTGTATTTGAATCAATCTCTTTCTCACTCGATCTCCACCCAATCTACGTTTTTGTACCCTGCGACAGTTTGAGCTTTCAGGTGCCCAAGCAAATATACGAAGCAACTCCTCCATTGTCGAAAAAAAGTGAGCAGAGGGACGAGGAAGGGCGGCCACCCCTCTGCTCGTCAGAAATTGCTACTGAGAGTGAGAATTCTGCCCCTCTGATCTTTTGACCCTGTTGGAAGCTGGGTTTGCTTTTGGTTTGCAGCGGTGCACTGATGTTGCTGCATTTCTTTTTTTATTTTTTAAATACCCAAGCCCTTCTTATATTTCTAGTAGGAATTGTGGTCATTTATGCCGCCCATCAGCTGTAGAAAGTTGAAACTTAGATGGAAAAAATGAGAGAGCTGGAGAGAGAAAAAGAGAAGGACCAAGATAGAAAAGGATGATGGATGTATAGAACACGTGTGTTCTAGAGAGTAGTTTTATTATTTTAAAGATGTAGATTCAATAAAATATTATAGTCTAATAAAATGATTGATTTGATTAACAGTCTAAAAATAATAATTTTAGAAGGAAAAAACCTTGTTTTTTTGTGTCAAATATCTGTTGGGACACATTTTTTTTTTTTTTACCAAAAAAGATAGTGTAAAAATGTAATAGGTTCCACCGGTGGCAACCTTATTCAAATATGCATGGTCGGAAGATGTGAAAGCTATAAGGTAGTGTATACACTTCTTATATTGGTTTTAGTATTATTAATTGTAACTTCTTTTGAAAATTAAACTAAAATAACATACACTACTTCTGTAATAGAACAAAATAAACACCATTTTTGGAATTATAGCAAAATAACCACATTATTTTTTAAACTGAACCAAATAACTCACACTATTTCTGAAATTATAGCAAAACAAATACACTATTTTTGAAATTGAACCAAAATAACCACACTATTTTTGAAATTGAACCAAAAGAACCACACTATTTCTAAAACCAAACCAAAATAATCACACTATTTTTGGAACTACTGCAAAATAACTCACACTATTTCTTAAACTGAACCAAAATAATCCACACTAGTTATGAAATTACAGAAAAATAACTCACAATATTTATGAAAATGACCCAAAATAACCCACACTATTTCTGAAACTACAGCAAAATAACCACTATTTCTAAAGCTGAATAAAAATATCCCACACTATTTCTGAAACTATAACAAAATAATCACACTATTTCTAAAACTACAGCAAAATAACCCACACTATTTTTGAAACTGAACCCAAATAGCCCACATTATTTCTGGAACTACAACAAAATAGCCCACATTATTTCTGAAAATTAGGCCAATATAATCTACACTATTTATTGAAGGAAACAAAATAAACATTATTTTTGGAATTACAGCAAAACTATTTCTGAAAAACCCATATTATTTTGAAAATAAACCAAAATAACCAACACTATTTCTATAATTGAACCAAAATAACCCACACTATTTTTGAAATTGCAACAAAATTACACCTATTTTGAAACTGAACCAAAATAATGAGTTTCAAAACTAGGAGATCTTCAGTCTTATGAGCTAAGATTTTCACTACGTTGTGTTTAGATAAGGATTTTGAAGAGCACTAACGAGTTTTAAATTATTTCTTTACTCTTCACAACTACTTAACTTATTCCTTGATAATATCATCTTGTTGGTAGATAATTAGCATTCTTGTGATAGGTTGAGCATCTCTCGACTTCACAAGTCAAGTCATACATCTCATTGACATGTCCCTTTTGAATAATATATTATAGGGCTTATGAATTAGTTTCAATATTGTTCCCTAGATTTTTTTATTTTTGTTAGGAATAACAATTGATTTGATTCAGGAAATACAAAAGGAGACACAAGGGTGAGGGCCAGAAGCCCAAACCCAGACAAAAGATAGAAAATAAAGATGATTTGACAAAAAAAAAAGGGGAAAAAAACAAAAGGTGATTTGACCCACAAAAAAAGAAGGAAAAAAAACAAAAGGTGATTTGACCCACATGAAAAAGAAAACAAATGTACAAACAAAAGTTCTAAAATATGCTAGGCGCTAATGCGGTGGGTTGGGATCTAACGTCTAGGCGGCTAGGCAGATCTAGGCAGGGGCCTAGACAGATTATGCGGATTTAAGTAAATCCATTATATTTCGTGTAAATAAGTGTCAGTTTATACTCAATATATATAATTTCATCATAAACCACAAAATAGAATGACATATATACTATGAAGTATAATGAAAACATGGGGAATAAACATATAATGTGTGCTCATTTTAAGAGTAATGTTAGGCAGACTAAAATTGCAAACTAAATTATGTGTCATCAATAAGAAATGAGCAGGTTTATCAACATTTAAATAATAATCCAATTATCAACTTCCATGTCATTTAGTATCAACATTTAAATAATAATCCAATTATCAACTTCCATGTCATTTAGTTTACAAAACTTAGTCTACAAATTTAGTCTCCCTAGCATTACTCTTTAAGTATCCAACAAGTCTCTTACAATTTATTGAAAAAAATAAAATGCAAAATAAAAGTTATCTATTTTTTGTCTAAGTGAGTCGCAATCTAAGAAGGTGCCTAGACGATCTAGGCAGACGCCTTAGCAAGTCTGGGCACTCTTTCTTAATTTTTAAATACCTAGACATTAATCGGGTGCTTAAGCGACGTTAAGCGGAGATTTTTAAAACAGTGGTACAAACATATACATGGACACAACCAAACAAATATTTAAAGGGAGTGTGGCCCCGACAAACTTCATGCAGTTCAAAGCCTAATGGAAAAAATCAACTTTTTGATGGAATAGACTGATTGAATGAGACTTCCGTCAGGGGCATTGGCTGGAAAAAAGAAAAATTACTGTTGCATGTGGGCTTCTTTATTATTGATGAAACTTTAACTTTAACTTTTATTCTTATTATATTGTATTTTGTTCTTTTTATTAAATTTCAGGCTTTTTCTATTAAATAAAATTATAGGATGATTTTTTTGTTAAAATAAACTTATCTTAAGCCCTTTTCATTAAAGCCCCTCTTTATCAATTAAGATTTGTATTTTCATCATTTCGGTCATTTAAATATTCTCATTTCCAAATATGATAAGAGATAAAAATATACGTTGCAAGTATTTAAACAATGCTGGCTCCTAGAAACCAATACGAAAATAAGAGTGCGGGTACAAAATAACACCATTAACTGTACTGTGAAGCACAACCATGGAAAAAGCAAGGATATAAAAAATTACGCCATGGAGCCGTCGTTAACAGCAATCTATAATAAAAAAAAAGATAGGAGTCGCGAATTCGGAGGCAGATTGTCTTTCCTTCTATTTGGGTACCCTTCTCATCTCTTTTTTTTTTTGTGCGGTCACGGTTAAGGGCACGTCAACATTTTATATTAATTTTTTTTATATAGATAATAAGACAAAAAGTAATAAGAATATAAAATGTTGACATAGCTTGACTGTGACTGCACAAATAGGAGGAGATAGAAAAGGCACCCAAACAGGAGGGCAGACAATCTGCCTCCCGCAAATTCATCGTAGTTCATCGTGCTTCAACCTCTTTACAGGTTCCTCAACCTTATGAGCAGCATTGTCGTAGACTTGGGCTTGATTTACGCCATCTTCAATGGCTCCGGGTCTTAGTTTTGCTCGCCCAACCATACCGGCCTTAATGGCAGATGTGACCTGCCTCTGCAACGTCAATAGACCAATGGACTTGGATTGTCTACCCTCCCCAACCAATACGCTTTGAAACAACATAAAGAACAGCTAAAGAAAACAAGAAGAATCCTAACACAAGTATCACCCTGTCCAGATAAAATTCGATGTTAGAATCTGCAAATGTTATATGGATAGGGATGACGATTTACTCGGTGTGAGAAGTAAAATAGAATGTTGTCTTTTTTTACTTACTTCTCACACCAAGTAGATCTAACGTCTGCTACATATTTTTAAACATGCAAACAAAATATATTCACTTTTACTTCTTACACGTACATTTAAACATTATCAAGCACACTCCCGAGAGTTTGACTAGAATTTGTAGGAGCCGCGCGAACACAGTTCCTCACTAACACAAAATATGATGTTGGCTCTCCCGCTTGGGGAGACCATAAGGTACCTTTTGGTACGCAGACGGGACGGGACGGAACAGGACAAAACAGATGATGTAAATATTGAAAAAGATACAGAGAAATTTTGTCATAAAATGTTATAAATTTGTGTTCCACGGCTGTGAAACGGGTCGTTCCAAAGGGAAGAGGTGGAACGAAAAATCAAACAAATTTCGTCCCATGAGATAACCCGTTCCACAATTTTTAAGCGCACCAAACATGTGACGAAACGGCTCGTCCCGTAGGCGCACCAAACATGTGACGGAATGACTCGTCACGTGTGACATAATGACTCGTCCCGTTTCACGTACCAACCGGTACCTAAGAGCAACTCCAGTGTAGGAGCCCTCCCCCCAGGCAATTCACTATTTAATCCACCTAGTGAACAGTAACTGCCCTTAATAAATAGTGCATTCCCCTGGCAATTGCCTTTTGCATCTCCACCCCTGCACTGAATAGCCCTGGCAATTGGCAATAAAATATTAGTATTTTTTTATTTATAAAATAATACATAATAATTTTATTTGTAATTTCGGATAAGATTTTTAATCGTTCTCGTTGCGCCACGTGTCATTATCCGAAAAGCCAATAGCAATAAAATTTTTGTATTTATAAAATAATTCAAAATAATTATATTTGTTATTTCAGATAAGATTTTTAATCGTTCTCGTTGCGCCACGTGTCATTATCCGCAAAGAAAATTATTGGTGATGGATTTCCGATAAGATTTTTAATCGTTGTGTCAAGGCACGTGTCATTATCTGAAAAGACAATTATTGGTGATGGATTTCTGATAAGATTTTTAACCAATCATGTCGTGCCACGTGTCACAATCCGATTACAATCTTTGAGGATAGATTTCCACCAGATTTTTAACGAATGACGGCATGCCACGTGGCATTATCTACAACCTAATCCCTTCTGAATCCTCCATATAATCCCCCATCCATCCTCATAAATCTCACACCAATTTTCTCAAGATCTTTATCATTATTCATAGTTTCTGCTTCCTTCTTCGCCAAAATCCCTATCATTATTCATAGTTTTTGCTTCCTTCTTCACCAAAATCCCTATCATTATTCATAGTTTCTGCTTCCTTCTTACAATGTCTTCTTCTTCTTCTTCAAAGATGATGTGGGAAATCGAGCAAGAAGAGGAAGAATTGTTTAACCAATCACAATGAATGTTCAATGTTGGGGATTGGGGCCAAAATGAGATGGAAGAGGATGACGAGCGTAGACGGCGAGATGACGAATCAAGAATGGCAGGAGCCTCACAATCCCGTCGAGTCGTCCAAGCTGTGGCTCATATCTGCAGGCCCAACCGTGCTGTAAACATTGATAGAAACAGGCAACGACGAGGTCAGGAGCTCTTGGATGATTATTTTGTCCGTAACAGTGCATTCCCTGATACATACTTCCGACGTCGTTTTAGAATGGAACGACATTTGTTCAACAAAATCATGGGCGCTGTTTGCAACCATGATTCTTACTTTGTGCAAAAGCCGGATGCTTTTGGTGCTATGGGTCTCCTGCCTCAGCAAAAAATTACTGCTGCCTTGCGGATGCTTGCATATGGAGCAGCTGCAGACCAAGTGGACGAGATAACGAGGATGGGACAATCAACCATTCTTGAGTCCCTCATGAGGTTTTGTTCGGCAATCGAATCTATCTACACCGCAGAGTACCTCCGGATACCTACTCATATGGACTTGCAAAGGCTTCTGAAGAAAGGCGAGATGCGAGGTTTTCCAGGGATGATTGGAAGCATTGATTGTATGCATTGGACTTGGAAAAACTGTCCAAGTGCATGGCAAGGCGCTTATGGGGACAGAAAAGGATCAAAAAGTATCATTTTGGAGGCGGTGGCATCTTTTGATACATGGATTTGGCACGCCTTTTTCGGGGTTCCGGGAGCTCAAAATGACCTCAACGTCCTTGCCCAATCCCCAGTGTTCAACGATGTCCTGCAAGGAAACGCACCAAAAGTCACGTATGAGGTCAATGGACGTATGTACGACGGGCCATACTACCTAGCTGATGGCATTTACCCAAGGTGGTCAACATTTGTCAAAACAGTGCCACGTCCGCGCAGTGCAAAGGAAAAACACTTTGCAAGATGTCAAGAAGGGTGCAGGAAGGATGTGGAGCGTTGTTTCGGTATCCTCCAAGCTCGCTGGGCGATCATCAGAGGTGCTGCCAGATTGTTTGATGTAGAGTCGCTTCGATCCATCATGATGACGTGCATCATTCTTCACAACATGATTGTGGAAGATGAGTACGATTATGAAGCCGTTGATGAATATGAGCCAGACACGATGAACAATTCAAGAACACGTATATATTGTGCTCATGACGCCACCGATGAGCCCGTGCAACATGAGCCATTAGAAAGGGATGGACGTTACAATGAAAGGATCATCCAACGATATACTGCACTTCAAAGGTCAAATATGCACAATGCCCGCCAACTTGACTTGATAGAGCACCAGTGGGAATTGAGGGGTGCTGACGATACTTAAGTTCATTAGTGTTTGTTTTTATTTGGTGTGTTTATTTTATTTTATGTGGTGTGTTTTTTTAGTTCATTTAGTGAGTTGAAATGTAATTTTATTTTATTTGGTGTTTGTTTTTATTTGGTGTATTTATTTTATTTTATGTGGTGTGTTTTTTTAGTTCATTTAGTGAGTTGAAATGTAATTTTATTTTATTTGGTGTTTGTTTTTATTTGGTGTGTTTTTTGGTGTGTTGATGTTATTTTATTTGGTGTGTTTAAATGTGTTTTGAATAAAGTACTAAGTTCAATAAATTGGAAACAACATAAAGTACTCTATTCAATGAATAAGAAATTACAAACCGAATAAGAAATTACAACCCGAATTGATTGGAAAATTATGGGTTTGTGAATGGATGATAACCATCACCTAACCAATTTGTGGTGCTAGGATGATCTTCTCTTGTCATGCTAGGATAATCTTCTCTTGTGGTGCTAGGACCATCTCCTCTTGCTCTCGCTTCTCTTGCACGCATCCTTCGCACCACATCCGCTTTCTCTAACTTCCAAAAATATTTAGAGTCTGGAGACTTCCCTTCTAAAGGCTCCTTCATAATGTCACGATCTCGTTCAGCCATTCTTTCTTCTCTTCTATGTTCCCTTTCTTGCCGAAGTAGTTATCTTTCTCTCTCATCAGCTTCAAATTTTCTCTCAAAAGCTGCAGCTTTTGCATCCTCTCTAGCCTTATCAGCCTCAAATTTAGCCATTTCCCGGGCCAAATTCAATTCACCTTGGCGGGCAAGATCTTCCATATACTTTGCATAATCATTCTTGGAAGCATTACCTTTTCTCTTTGAAGCCTTCTTACCTTGAGGCCTAATTGGATAACGGGTCGACCCCGACGCTTGTTCAACGGGGGGCGTTTCAGGCACTTCTTCATCATCTTCATCATGATCATGCGAGGCATGCTCAGGTGTAGAGTGTAGAGGGGTGCTGTTCATGAAAAACTTCTGGACCGACATGCACAACTCTAAATTTAGGACAATCTTTGACAATATTCCAACATTCAAACCGGGTGAATGTTTTGTTTTTTGCTTTGGTTTTGGCACCATACCAAGCTTGTGCTTGAAGTTCCTACACAAACAAATAATTATAATGAGAATAGGTAACAAATAAATAAATTATAATGAAAGTATGTAACAAATAAATAATACAAACAAATAATTATAAATGAAAGTAGCTAACAAATAATTATAATGAAAGTAGGTAACAAATAAATAATACAAACAAATAAATATAATGAAAGTAGCTAACAAATAATTATAATGAAAGTAGGTAACAAATAAATAATACAAACAAATAATTATAATGAAAGTAGCTAACAAATAATTATAATGAAAGTAGGTAACAAATAATACAAACAAATAAATATAATGAAAGTAGCTAACAAATAATTATAATGAAAGTAGGTAACAAATAAATAATACAAACAAATAATTATAATGAAAGTAGGTAACAAATAATACAAACAAATAAATATAATGAAAGTAGCTAACAAATAATTATAATGAAAGAAGATAACAAATAAATAATACAAACAAATAAATATAATGAAAGTAGCTAACAAATAAATAATATATTGTTACCTGATCCGTTAAATTTTCCCCACTTCGAAGATTACCACTAGCTTGTGCCAAGGCGTCTCTCCACGTACTAAACGATTGACTAAGTAATTTCCAACGACTGGACATCGATTCTTTAGTTCTTTGCCCACCCATTTTCTCAAGATAATTGGTATGAATAAGACTCCACATTTCTCGCAACTGCATCTCATTACCCGTAATCGAATCATGAGTAACTTGAACCCAACTAGTACACAACGCAACATCTTCAAGAAGCGTCCAATTCGTACCTGGTTGAGTAGTCATTTTGTTGGAAAAAAAATTGGATTGAAACTTTGAAAGAAAGATAGGAATGTGGTTGAAAGTAGTTGAGAAAATATAAAATTGTGGTGTAGGGTAGAAGATAATGAGAAGGTATTTATAGGTGAAGTGAAATCAAAATTTTTTATAATTTTTCATAATTTTTTTTCGGATTTTTAAGAATTTTTTTACATTTTTTTTAAATTTTTATTCACCTAATTAATCTTTGCCGTTGGATTTAAAAAAATTTAAATTCCAACACTCCAGATTGTGCCACGTGTCACAACGGTAACATTTTAGATTTTTAAACAGTTTTTTCTTTTTTTTTATATAATTTACAAAGCCTAATAACGTGAACCGTTGATCTTAGATCAAACGGATGAAATTAAATGAGATTTTTAAATGTTTTTTACCGTTGGAAATCCAACGGTCCATAAAATATGACCGTTTCAATCGAACAGACATGGGGAAGCCACGTGGCTTCCCCAACGGTTACTTTTCAAAACTGAAATCGCGGGCCCCAGCCCTGTTTTTTTGTCGGACGACTCGCGCCCACGCGCGCGTGCAACGCACGCGCCTGACGCAGCCCTCGGGCTCTCGGGCTGGCAATCCTCGACGGGCCTGCTCCTCGGGCCTCGCCTGTTGCTCGGGCTTCCATACGCTGGAGCTCATCCCCCCATCAATTTGCTACTGTTTGATCCACAGCCCCCGAGCAACCTCCCCCGCTGGAGGTGCTCTAAGAGCACCCGTCTTAGGTGCAATGGAGGTGACCCACCTAGGCCAGGAGCCTTCTTGTTAGAGCACCTCCAGCGGGGGAGGTTGCTCGGGGGCTGTGGATCAAACAGTAGCAAATTGATGGGGGGATGAGCTCCAGCGTATGGAAGCCCGAGCAACAGGCGAGGCCCGAGGAGCAGGCCCGTCGAGGATTGCCAGCCCGAGAGCCCGAGGGCTGCGTCAGGCGCGTGCGTTGCACGCGCGCGTGGGCGCGAGTCGTCCGACAAAAAAACAGGGCTGGGGCCCGCGATTTCAGTTTTGAAAAGTAACCGTTGGGGAAGCCACGTGGCTTCCCCATGTCTGTTCGATTGAAACGGTCATATTTTATGGACCGTTGGATTTCCAACGGTAAAAAACATTTAAAAATCTCATTTAATTTCATCCGTTTGATCTAAGATCAACGGTTCACGTTATTAGGCTTTGTAAATTATATAAAAAAAAAGAAAAAACTGTTTAAAAATCTAAAATGTTACCGTTGTGACACGTGGCACAATCTGGAGTGTTGGAATTTAAATTTTTTTAAATCCAACGGCAAAGATTAATTAGGTGAATAAAAATTTAAAAAAAATGTAAAAAAATTCTTAAAAATCCGAAAAAAAATTATGAAAAATTATAAAAAATTTTGATTTCACTTCACCTATAAATACCTTCTCATCATCTTTGAAGAAGAAGAAGAAGACATTGTAAGAAGGAAGCAGAAACTATGAATAATGATAGGGATTTTGGTGAAGAAGGAAGCAAAAACTATGAATAATGATAGGGATTTTGGCGAAGAAGGAAGCAGAAACTATGAATAATGATAGAGATCTTGAGAATTGGTGTGAGATTTATGAGGATGGATGGGGGATTATATGGAGGATTCAGAAGGGATTAGGTTGTAGATAATGCCACGTGGCATGCCGTCATTCGTTAAAAATCTGGTGGAAATCTATCCTCAAAGATTGTAATCGGATTGTGACACGTGGCACGACATGATTGGTTAAAAATCTTATCAGAAATCCATCACCAATAATTGTCTTTTCAGATAATGACACGTGCCTTGACACAACGATTAAAAATCTTATCGGAAATCCATCACCAATAATTTTCTTTGCGGATAATGACACGTGGCGCAACGAGAACGATTAAAAATCTTATCTGAAATAACAAATATAATTATTTTGAATTATTTTATAAATACAAAAATTTTATTGCTATTGGCTTTTCGGATAATGACACGTGGCGCAACGAGAACGATTAAAAATCTTATCCGAAATTACAAATAAAATTATTATGTATTATTTTATAAATAAAAAAATACTAATATTTTATTACCAATTGCCAGGGCTATTCAGTGCAGGGGTGGAGACGCAAAAGGCAATTGCCAGGGGAATGCACTATTTATTAAGGGCAGTTACTGTTCACTAGGTGGATTAAATAGTGAATTGCCTGGGGGAGGGCTCCTACACTGGAGTTGCTCTTAGCCCATTAACCCCGTCCAGATAAGTGATCTTTTTTCAACATTTCCTTCCATTTTATTGCCTCTACCCGCAGCATCCCCCGCCGCTTCATCGATGTGGGACAAAAGCGCATCCTATGATTATAACTTTTAAGTTTCAATGCTACCAAAGGCATGGCACAATTTTATTTTTTTTCATCTTTTAATCCAACTTTTACCAAGGAAAAATATGACAAAAGTGGTTTTTAATTCAAAACCTCAAGCAAATATTCAAGTCGTCAATGATGATTTGATTTCTTGAGAGTTAGTCATTTATTTTGTTAGAGAAAGTCTTGAGTTCAAACTTAATGGACAAAGATACATTGAACAACATAAATCTAAGAACATAGTTTGTTCCTAAAAGCTAGTGATGGTGAGAATGGACGAAACTTATAAATTCTCGTAACATTGAAAGAGAAATACCACTAAGCAAGGTAATGATGTTTCTGTTGCGGCCAATTCATATGATGAAAGACTTTTCCATCTCGAAAATTAGTACATGAAGTTCGTGTTAAAATTTCCAAATTTTATCCTCCAATCATGATTGGCCTTTTTTCGATAACATGGAAGAAAAAGAGATAAGAAACACTAAAGAACTAGTCTAACTCTAACGGGTCCAAAAGAGTCATCAGAAAAAGTTTGAACTAAACACGAAAGAAGTTCCGCAAGCTCTTGAAAATCTACCTCGCTACTTAAACCCAACAATAGCTCAAGAAAACTAGCAAAAAAAATGTCAAAATTTGAGAATTAAAATAATTCATAGAGAAATCAATCATACACGGGAAAAGAAATTCAAGATGCTGCTATTTTTACTCCCTGAACTCTTGCAGCTGCTTCTCTTCAGCTTCTCATTTCTTACCACCCTTTTTCCCTTGGGAAGCTTAGAATTTACACTTTCCTGAGATTCTGGAGTTACACACACAATGTCCGAAGACTCCATCTCCGTCACGCCCGAAACCCGTTCACTAACGCTCACTATATGATCTAAGTGAACAACATCAACCTTCCTTTTTCTGGAGGGGCCATTGTCGAGAACTTTCACCTTGATGTCCAAAGCTTCCACCTCAGGAGCTGCATTCGAAGTTTGTTTAGTGTTTTCGCAACCTGTTTGATCCGAGCGAATCTCATCTTTCCGCTTCTTGAAAGGATTGCTGAGAGGAACCTTCAATGGGATGGTCTTAGGTGCCATTGCCCCTTCCATTGTTCCATTATTTTCCCCTTCCATTGTTCCATTATTTTTCGACTGCACAATCAGCTTTGCTAGTGCTGCAACTTCATTCAAACACGCGTTTTCATCCAAAACTGGATTCCGCATTTCTGTAGAACAAAATTGTAGCACCGCAAAACATATGCATTATGCACTAAAATTTCCACAAGCAGATATAAGATGCATGTAGGCGCATTGAATGCGGAGAAACTTCAACAAAACTTGCCTGTATGCCTTGCATTATCTTTCTGGCCTTTAAGGGAGGGAAAGGACACAAAACAGCTAACTTCTGCAGATACAATCGCAGTCGCAGTTCTCTGGGTTTGATCAGAATTTCGATTTTTGATAGGATCTGGATGATGTCTCGAAGCGGGGAAGTGATCAAAGGCCTCCATATTTATGGGGTCCAACTTTCCTTCAGCAATTGCAGTAGCTACTGATGAAGGCATTTCTCTAGTTCAATTTGTAATTGGTCAAGGAAAAGAAATGCAGATATTGTAAGAAATGTTAAACCCGAAAATGAAAAGAGAAAATAACACAAGGATACGGTCCAAGGAAATCGAGTTCTCCACCTAGAGACTGCACAAGCTTTTGTGGAATTGGTTTCATATGTTTGACATTTTTCTTGTCAGCGTCGTATCTACATCAAAGTATAGAAAGCCAAGTCACTAATTGAACCAAATAGAAAAGGTCGGAATATTTATTACTTAGTATGCAAGTCTCAGATTGGTCACATTTGAGCATGCTGAAAAACTGCAACAGCTTCTCTGAAACATTTGGGGTAATCTTCAGCCATTTGACTGCCCTTCTGCGATTTAAGAGCCGATAAAGCCTGCAAGAATGCCACCACGAAATGAAGCATAAGGCATCATGGAAAGCTCTAACAGAATAGAGAAAAATCAATTATAAGCGTAGGATTATCGAAGATGTGTACACCACACTTACACGATCTAAGTTGCGATACTTGGCAACCAAGGCATAAGCTTTTGCAATCCCAATTCCATGAACAGACGGAAGGAAATCACAGCCAGCCAAAACACACATGCCTGCAAAAAATGCCAGATCAAAAACTGGTCCACTTCATACTTTCAAAGTACTTTTTACAGCCAAGACGCACATTTTGTTACTGTTTCAGATTATAGCTTAGGGATGACGTAGCTCCAAGATATTTTCGTTAAAACGTATGCAGAGAGAAAGAAAAAAAAAAATACTTCATTGTCAACTTGTACTAACCTGTGAACAATTCCTGATCAAAATTTTGGAACGAAGGTTTATGACTCCCTGGATTAAAAACATTCTCCAGCACTATCTCTTCGCCATTACCATAGTGGTCCATCTTGAAGACAATCTGTTTGCAACCAGTGCAAATCAAAACAAACAAAACGCCAGCAAGTTCAATAACATGTGATTAAAAAGAAGTCAGTCGGAGAGTCAACCTCCATCTGCACCATATCAAGGGTTTGTGGAAGGTCTTACAGCTTGGCAACCATATGCCACAAGATCACTGTCCTCTGTAATCACTGCAGCAATTCCACCCTTTTCTGCTTCGAGACTGCACAGGTATGCTAGCTGTGCATCAGCCTCATATGGAGCTACTACAAATTCAACTTTCTCTGATCTCAGAACCTGAAAGGCCAATAGTGTACAAAAGTATTCAGGAACTCGGGGTTAGGTTTGAATCCAATAACAAAAGGTAAAGGCAAAGGAACTGGTATGCCGATTTAACTAGAACTACGCAATGATAATATGAACAGAATGGCCTGAACATGAACATGCATCAAGTAAATTACCTGTATCAGTTGATGTGCCATGGCTGGTGTTACACTCACTGCTCTCTACAAAGGAAGAAACCAACGCAGTCGGTAAATCAGATAGAAGATACGAATTTTAGAACTAGCAATAGTGAATATTCACGATAAGTACTCGATGTAATGGGGAGAAATTAGATCTTTTAATAGAAACTGAGTCCGATTTTGAACAACATTCTATGCCTACCATGTTTCTCAACTTCCCGTGAGAGTCATGAGTCCATAAACACAAACAATGTTTAAATCAAGTTGCATCCATTGTAAGTATGGAGATGCTTATAAATAAGGAGAGCTAGTCAACATAATTGTAATCTCCAAAACTAAGCAATGAGTACAGATATGGGTCAAAAAGTAATACATGAGTAATGTGTTCAGCTCATAGTTTACGCATTTAGTGATTTTCCGATGTAGTGTGTAGCTATGCAACACACTTCTTGAACAAAATCAAGTACCTGGAAGAGCTCAGTGGCAGCTCTAATATCCCCTTCTCTATATTTTGCCATTGCCAAATCACGATTAGTCTTCCGTCTCCTGA